TTCTCTGAAATTGCTCTCATGAATACACAAACATACATATACATACATGAATACATTTACATACATATACTTTGAAACGGTTACACTGTGCAGCGGCCATAGCAGTTAAATCATTAGCTCTGCCAAAGTGGTTGCAAAAAGCACGAACATGAGAAGGTGCACACGGCGATAATACATAAACCTGAGTGATGACTTATTTCAGTAATGAAAGGAAGTGCAACGTAGATGTTGCAAATCAAAAAGAAAGAAAAGAATAATTGTGGAACGTATGTTTGCATCATTTCTGGTAATCAGTGAAAACTTTAAAGGGTTTTTTTAGTGTAATAAACTAAAAACGTATGCATTAAAACTAGAAAGCCAACAGCTCCTTACCGCACGTGATAGGGTTAGGTTTGATGGGTCATTTGGCGAAATATTTCATTAGCTGCTGGATTTGACTTACTTGTTGTAGGGAACTGATAACCTTCATTAACACTGAGATAACAACAATAGCAAACACGTGGTTTGGAGATTGTGATGAGTAACAAATATTGACATTTTTAAAGCCCTACTTAAATTTTTTCACAATGTGTTGTACATGTAGTGAGTTGACCGGTAGGATAGTAAGTCATAGATAGATGAGATCAGTAGGGCTTAAAAATATTCAGCAAAAATTGATAACAAATGCTTTGTGCTCCTCAGATATACCAAACTGGTGATGCATTGATAAGGGAATTCGGGGACCAGGAAAATCGTGTTGCACGATACATAGGTATAGGCAAACAGTTTTAATTTAAATGTGCTAGATATATTTCTCACTCAATGGTGGGTTTCTGCATGGAAACCGTTCTCCCTATACAAAGCCATAACAACGCTGCGACTTGGCAGATGTGACTCGCCACTAAATAAACTCAGTACCTCTTGGCCATCCGGAGGATCTTCCCCAGTTCTCGAACGCCATCCTTTTCGAAGACTTCATTTGATAATTTCATACGATGGCGAACACATCAAACAAACTCCGAATTCAGTCACACTTCACAAGTTCATTCATTACGTCCACATGGTGGGCGGCATCCGGTTTCCGATTTGTCTGTCACTGTGGCAAGCCACAGGACGCCTGCGCCTACAAAGGGACCATGGGTGGCTTGCGCTGCACCACCCACAGCTCCAACCACACACCCCATATCCAGTGTAAACCCGAAAGGAATAAGACCGAGAGGCAGGTGGATGGGAGCCACGTTTCATCAACGGAGCAGGCCCATACCCATTCACAGGCAAACACAAGCACCCTGTATTTGGGGAATCAACCGCACACAAGGCGGTGGCTGGACTGTAGTCCGCTCCACACTGAATGCACGGAACCGCTCTTTGAACCTAGCATGGCCACAAGGACCGTGCACCCCGCCCCTCCAGCAACGACCAACTGTCTCCTGGAGCCAGTATGAACGATGTAGTGGGTAATAGACAGGTAAGCACCTTGTCAATATGCACATCAAGCGCATCCACACCGGGGATATCAAGCAACAGCCATTCACTTTAAAAGACAATCTGAAATAAAATCAATCAAATAATGCATACAGATACGGTAGCATAACTCTTCGCTAAATTACCATATGAAGTAAGTTGGTTAGCAACGAATCCGCGATAAGTAAGAAATGTCCACAAGTTACTTAAAAGTGCTGCAAACGCAACAAAATTACCACAGATAAGCGCAATTGTCGTAAGCAACTCGGTCAGTTACTAGAACATTATTCAGGTGGGCAGAACAAATCAAACAAAGTGGAATGAAATGTATCCAGTAGATGGAAATCGGGTGTTGCCCACCCGAAAACACTGCACTGTATCCAGTTTAAAAAGACTTAGTTTAAATGTAAGTTGGTTTAACCCAACTGCGGTGAAGAAGCACAAAGAATGCAACATCAGCCTCAGCATGGGGCACACATACAAACATGGTTGGCGGCATCCGGTTTCGGATTTGTCTGTCACTGTGGCCAGCCACAGGACGCCTGCGCCTACAAAGGGATCATGGGTGGCTTGCGCTGCACCACCCACAGCTCCAACCACACACCCCATATCCAGTTAAACCCGAAGGAACAAGACCGGGAGACATGTGGATGGGAGCGACGTTTCATCAACGGAGCCGGCCTACACTCCTTCAAAGACAAACGCAAGCACACTTACATACACACATGCATACCCAGTATGTTACTGGTTACCTTACTATATCTTTGTATGATTATCCAGCAGACCAGTTTGTATATCATAGTCATGCGTTCACAGTGGTGCCTCGCACTGCCGGAAATAAAGCACTTAATTATGTAGTTATGTACAATCTTATTCCACCTAATTCAAGACTTGATACTGCAGCATTGTTAGCATTACTGGTGGATGCTTATTATCTCAAAAGATATAGGAAGTTGTACGATGCACGTAAAGCTGCAGCATTTATTTACAGAAAATTCGGGGTGTCTGCTGAAGAAGATTTTTAGAAAGTAGCGTCATTTTTAACAACTATTTCATTTAGAAGCCTGTAGAAAAATGAAACCATCGAACTGATATCCGCTCCAAGAAAGATTTAATCTACATAGGCACACAGAGTGTGGTACTTATTAAAATAGACTGCATGACCAGTTATCCTAAGCCACCGTTACCATTTCCTAATGACAACCACCTGAGAGTGAATTATTGTGCACAGTGTGAAGGGTAATTTTGTGTTTGTGGATATTTTGCGTGATGTAAATATTTCCAATATAACCATGTGCTCCCTCGAAGTTGCTTCACCCTTCACCAACGTACCATTAGTTGCAAACATAATGTGAGTATGTTGATGCAAACCATGTTAATGTTGGCAAACCCACGATGATCCTAAAGGAAATATTGCTCAGATGCACGTTCAATGTTCAGTTTCTATTCAATGGCGAATTATACCGGCAGTGCGATGGGGTAGCGATGGGTTCCCGACCGTCCGTTCCTCGCTGACGTCTTCACGGTCATGCTGCAACAGGAGAAACTAGAGCCAACGAACTCAAGTCTCGGTTTTAATTGCCGTTATGTGGAGGACATTTTTGTCTTGCTTCAGTCGTCGCGAAGTATCGAGGAACTAACAAACACGTTCAACCGAGGCCATCCAACAAAAATTTCACCTGAGAAGTTGGGGAAAACAGTCGATTTCCGTTCATTGCTGTCGCCATGAAAAGACTGGATGGGGGTGCGCTACAGCGCTGCGTCAATAGGAAAAGTACGTGGACTGGGCAGTACACAAACTTCTACAGCTTTGTACTACTTAGGTTTAAACGGAACTTGATAAATACCCTAGTAAGCCGAGCTGAACGTATCTGCTCGAAAAACACACCTAAGGAAGAATGGGGATGCGTTCGCTTAGTGCTGTGAGAATGGCTATCCGGAAAGCTTCATCAGAGCCAACATGGAACATTGAAAATAACCTGTATTTTTGACAGTACAACATAAGCCAATCTTCCCTGCAGCTGAAATACAAGAGCGAGGTGCGACGGAACTTCTATTTTGTCGTCTTTCGTTTGCGCTTAGACGCACCTATCCAGCAGCGCAGATGCAAATGCAGTTCACAAACATTCCGATGGTGGGACCAAACTCAAGGGATAAGAAGCCTGTCCACACCAACTCACTGTGTATCTACTCATTTTCATGCTCCCGTGGAGTGGAATAGATTGGTCGTACGACAAGGCATCTGTCTGAGAGAATGAAGGAACCCCACCCCGTCGGGCTTAGAATTGGAAGCGGAAATATAGCGAACTCTTCAATAGCCGCGCACCTAGCCGATATAAGGCACGCCACAAACTTCACTGATTCGTTCAAAATTGTCTATCACGTCCCAAAGAACCGCCAGAACTATGTCTGCAAACGACTACTAGAAGCCGCTGAAGCAATTGCGATCCGAATGTATTAAACGGAGCTGTGTTCAGAAGAAGCTAACTAAAAGCTTGGGACTGCCCTGGCCCAAAAGGCCGGTGACCTCTGACCCACGGGGTCACACGCGGTCGGTTGTCGTGGCTTAACAGACAGCGCTGTCAGTATCCAATTAACTCTATTAGGAACGACTTGTAATGTTTGTCTGCACATTTTGATTTGCATCTAATTGGATAAGCCTGAAGGTGATTTATCGAAAACGTTTTCGCTAACCTTGACTTCTGATTATACTATGGGATTTTTTAAAGCTGCTTCAATAAAACCATTCGGGCCAGATATGCTTCCCCACATTTTACCTAAGTCCCATTAAGGAAAGAACTTAAGAATCCTTAGCGAAGAATACTATACCCAATTAGAAGAACGTGGCCTGCCGACTGAACTTCCAGTGGTCGGCTAAAACAAGTGCATTGCAGTTTAACCTCGAAAATAATGAAACCCATGATGTAAACCTTTTCCATAAAATCAGAAGCATGCATGCTTGAGGCGTTTTCTTCATGATTCATTTCAGAAAGAGGGAGTGAGTTAAGCACTTTTATATGTACAAATATGAGTTGGTATAAAAACTGTAAAAGGACGTGATTCTGAAGGAAACAGAAGGAAAACCTAGGCTTGTGTTTAACCTGTCAAACTGATGCTGCAAAACATAATTTGAACGGTAAGGCGTGTACCAGGAAACGACATATTCCGAAGAAGATATCCACATTCTGAATATTGGCACACCATTGGTTTTGGTTACAGTGGCGCAGCGATGTCAATGGCGATCAGACACATGCCGAAATGTCATAAACTGATGTAGTGGGGAAGGGGTAAGTAGAAGAGAACGCGGCATGCTATCGAAAGCTTTAGCTACCTGCTGATTACATGCTAACAAACGTGCTTATATTGAGGAGCGGTAAATGAAAAACCAGTTGTTGACATTTCGGTAAGGTTATGAGTAAGATACTGCAACCTTATGGATTACTACAAGTGCTACTGATCAGAACCCCTCAAGCCCTTCATCAACCGTGAAATACTAAAGCATATTTGTGCTGTATGTCATTTTACACCCCTAGATAAAACTTTTGCTTTCTTCCCAGGCCCAAATTCTTCACATCTTAACGGATATATTACCACTTCCGTTGCATACAACAACAAAGGCAGATGTGCTCCAGCCTACAGTCTAATTCGTGATTTAAACTGTAATGGAAACTGGACAGCAACTCATGACCAACAACCGGTTGGGCGTTACACCGTACTGTCAAAGAGCGTGACCAAGAGAAATGGATTTACCATGGGTGAATATACACCAAGCACGAGTCAAGCGCAAAACCCCATGGGATCCGGCCGCTTACAACAGCATCAGCAATCTGAACACCCATACATTGCGCAGGTGAGCACATGTATTTACCGTAAACAGAAACTAAGTTCCCACTAGATTTAGCATGCTGCTCATTCTAGGCACATTTATATTACTTGTGTGCGCTGGAATGCTTCAATCGAAATAATCTGTAAACGTTCTAATGTACAATTGTTTCTGAGTAATTACAAGAACGTAATTAGGACTGACTGGAAAGTGTTTATCAACCATAGAGTGAATCCTCAAAAATATGTTAGCGGCATGGATCAATTCCTCTTCTCACTGCACTTCCCGAAAAATAAGGGAGTCAAGCATAAGTTGTGTTCGTGACATACGCTGCTACTATCTCTAAAGCAAAAGGAGCGTTGGAAGCAGAAAGTCCTTCCATTCCCTGATGAAACAGTGCAGATTATTGCAGCCACAAACACATAACTATATGGCGGATGACAACATATGGATATTGAAGTATACATAGCCACGGCCGTAGATGACGTTCTAAATACGTAGATAGTTGGATCGGAATCACCGACGGATTAGATCTATGTGGTCTGGAGCACATATTGTTCACACACGAGTAATATTCCCCCTAATACGTAAGCATTCGAGGAGTTTTAAAAGTATTAAAACAATTCAGCCCGAGAAAAGAGTCAAGGTTAAAGGAAATCGATGTTACTACCCCTCAACACTAACAACACTGAGTATTGGAAAAGAGCGACAGTACAATTCCTGCACTTCGGAAACCAGTCCTACGGATCGGAATAACCAAAATCTATTTCAAATTAAACCGAGGTTTAACTAGAGGCCGCGTGTTGCAATCCAACCGCGATGCGGATTCTCCAAACCCACTTTTAAGGACCAGCGTTGTTTAGGAGGTGGAATCTATGTCGATCGTGATGGGAGACTCGATACAAAATCGGAGCGAGTTAAAATTCCCAGGGGCTATAAGGCGCGCCTGTAAAATTTTAAGGGCACCTAATCAGATGTCAGATACTTTTTATTCTACGCGCAGCAAATGAGAGCCAGGATCTGACAGTCACAAAAAGACTTTTGGTCATTTTATCCATGTTTGGTAATAATTCATTGGACCCATAACCGAAGAGGGTTTGAAGGGTGGCCAGTGAAAAACACAATAACCTAATAATACAAACTTCCAGCTATGTAGTTAAGCCCCACACTGTAAATGAAAGCTATCGGTTCTATCCATATGTTCTAACAATACTGAAAATTCTCTAGTACACTACGAATCCCGACCACTCGGTATTCAACTGCCGGTGGAGTGTACAATGGGATCACATGTTTGCTTCCTAGAGGGATTGGGTTTATCTGAAGGGGATGAGGGCATGGACATTTGGAAAAACTGTACTAAGATGCATCAAAACGAATGTAAATTACGTCAATTTTGACAACCACCAAAAGAAAAAGGAGATAAACTGACAATAACAGATGGAAACGTGTAAAGGAAATGCATGGGTATGGGTTCTAGAACAGCATTTGTCTCGCGGGGAAAATTTAAGTGATTCTGACATTTGTATTGAGTCACCAACATACCAACTTCCAAGTCAGACAGCCTAGCACCAATTTGCAAATTTATCAAACGGCTGAGGGGAATTAATCGTTATGACGTAAAATTCCGCACCTCTTTTTGGGTTTCGCGCTCCGTTTTGCTCTTAATATTGTGATACAAAACTGCCACGCGAATTCGGGCAATTTGCATTTTGAGCCGAAGCTTCTACTTCAAATCTACCGAGTCACAGCAGTCAGTGTCTGTGACGAGAAATAGTGGCTGACTGAAGGTTTTTTAAGTACTCGTTGTGTGAAGGTATTGCGACGTGTGGTCTCAATATGGTCCGCGATCCGCATTAGGCGTGCCCGTCGGCATAACTGAGTCATGAAGCGTTGTGCCAAACATTGTTTTGCAGTGCATCGATGGCTTTGGAGCCACGGTGTTGGCTGACACTGCAATTCCCGTGTACGATTCGTAGTTCTGCGAGCTCTGCCGGATGAGTTCACATGAATGGGAATTTGGACTGTGAGCACAAAATAGACATTTGCTTCAGATTCCACTCCAATAGTTCAATCGACTCAACTTCGCTTTCAAGTGTTGCACCGTACAGATTAGGATTTCGCATCGCGATCCATGTATGGAACAGATAATGCAATAAGACTCCAACAGACAGCCGTTTCTCCTTATTGGAGTGTGTTAGGGATGCGTGTCTCCTGAGTTATTTAGTTAGTAGGGGGTAAACTGTGAAAACATATTATTGATTGAAACTATAGGGGATAATTATTAGCATAAAGATAATGAAAATCGATGAGCTGACTGTTACAGCTTCCTCAGCAAAAGTGCGCTTAAAGCTGCTCCATCATAGATAATTTCATCAGATACACAACACAGAAAGACGCTGAGCTTAGTGATCGTATGGCTTCTCTGTAACCCTTCTCACAAGGAGATCAAAATCACACAATTGCTCTGCATGCACGAATAATCTTCACACGCCCCTTAGTTTTCTTTTTAATGAAACGATTGAAAAGAATGGTGTAACTGTGGAGTTACATCGATAAAATTTCCGAGTAGGAATCGATCAGTTTCTAATTGGACGTTATCACATATTTTCTCAGGTGTCTTCACTGCAAGATAAGAAACTGGCTTAGTCTGCATATTTGCCTGCGACATTTGAGGTTTGTCTTAGAAAACTAAAATCCATAATGTAGACTACGTAAGGCTCTAATTTATGGTAAAGACAACTGTAGGTTGTTTATGACATGCTCTTGGTAAAGTGAAATGTCGCAAATAAAACGCAAGATTTATGAAATCCTTGTAATGGAGCTGTCATACTTTTCCTGATTAAATCAACCAATCTGAACAAATCTACTGTATCCTTTGTTCCATTTGCTTCCTCGTTTTACTTCACAATCGTAATCGTGCTGAATAATCTACCCAGTTTTCTAGTGCTTAAATCCAGAGTATTTGAGGTGCACTACGTCTTGTGCATTCATAGCAGAGAAAATTCCGTTGTTCATAGAAATTGGTTTTGGTGTTAAAGCGATGAATTATTTCTCACGCTGCCCCAGAGCATTTTAAGTCTCATTACGTGTTTGACCACGTGGATGTCTGCCCGGGTTATTCAGTTCGAGGATTTTTCCTCGGGCCTAGCCTGTTCGGTAGCAGGAACACAACGCGTCATGCGTACGGGTGCACTACGTGATATTTCTGGGCACAGTCACAATTCACCAAACCCAAAGTAAAGTCTAAATGTCAAATATGAGACAGAATATTTATCTTTTACAAATCTGTGGCGGATTCATCCTTAAACGTAAATGTTTACTTTGTTGCCAACATTTCGGGATTTGGCATTATCGTAACCGTGCGCTCTCGGTGAATTTCTAATCATAATCACAACTGTCTCGTCTAAATATTGTTTACGATAACTCTTGTTTAAACGTCTATTTTCGTGCTTATTACATAAATCAGTTCCAAGACGGTTCCTTCATAGTTTGGCAAGCAATTCGGTGGGCGATTTGGAGCTTTAGTTATTGGCTGTCACCATACATGAAGCCACAAATATGTGCTTTAGAGGGAAAGCAATTCAAAATAAGCTTTCTAGACTTGTGTGGGGGAGTATTTGCAGTAAATTAATCATTTCTAAACATACACAGTTATCATTCCCCTAAAGCAAGTATGATCAGCTAGGCCAGGAGATTCCCCTTTCCCAGCAACCTGCCTCTTAATCTCAGCAGATCCGTATAGATGAAAACCAGTCCTGGCACCTAAGTGGCTTACTAAATTATCGTGTAGTTAGGAAAAACGGGCATATTTTAATAAGAGTAATGGAACAGCGATGGCGTGATGGTGTTTATAATGGCAATAGGGATTTAGTTTCATATGTAATTCTTAAGGAAGTGAACGCAGAGTGAACACCGAAATGAAACAAACCGATTGTGCTTGTGTTGATTACTATTGGAGAGATGTTTTTAGCAGTAGTTAACGTCTGGAAAAATGGAACCGGCTTGTTTCCAAAGAATGTCAGTCAGTAGCTATTTGTTGACATGGCTGCATGATCCTAGAGTAAACTAGGAAAATGTACATAGACCGACCGCAAGTGAGGAATAAATGTTTACGTTATTTCAAGCGCCATTAGCATTGGTGAAGTTGCGGGCGGAGACCACACTGATCTCTTCTACTAAGGAAGCGCAGAATTTTGGTCACCCAGCACGAGAAATACCATTAGTAATCGGTAAGTGATGTTCTGAATATCCATGATGGCATTACTGTTCTTTGGTTTGCGAAATAGTGTGAACTTTAGTCATTATTCTCCCGTATTTGTGTGGCTGGTACAATGTGCCGCAGTTGCAGTTCTCCAAGTACTATCACAAGTGTACGTCAGGTTTTCAGTGAGAACGCCTGCGGGTGGTGAGAATTAGGAGACCTGTTTTAGACATAAATTTTGTGACATTCTCATAGCAGCAATTAATACGATAGCCACCAGCTTCTAAAATCCTTTCAACGTTTTAATGCAACAGGCAACTCAGTAGACACTTCCGGCCTATTTAACGAAAATGAAAGAAATTGACAATTGCGCGCAGAATATTCATTTCAATAGATCGCTACAGACATCAACAGTTATAATGCAAAAATTTTGACGCAAATGTGATGGTGAAAGTTTTGTCGGTGTTGGCTAAATGAAGAGCAAAGCGCACCAAACTCGTTAGTTAAGCAGCTTGAAATGGCTTGCTTAATCAGACTACGTAGTGCACGTGACCAACACTGGACATTTGCTGCTTGAATGAGTTTACGGCCAAGGTAAACTAAAGTCATGTATCAGAGTCCATTATTTACACAGTCCTGGTTGTCATGATGACCATTAGTTGATAGATCATACTGCTTGTAGGAGCTTGACACAATGGTTTTTTATCTCTGTTCTCCTATCCAGCACTGGCAAACTTTCCCGAAATTAGGTGCATCCTAATTTTGCTTTATAATTCCAAATACCGAAATTGATTTATGGCGAAGATTAATCTTTGCCAAATGTTTA